TCCCCTCCCATCTGCTCCCCACCCAGTCTCCCCCACCAGGCCCTTCTCCCGTTTCACCCTAGGCTACACCAGGGCATTTGGCACTGAGCTGATTGACCTAGGAGACTCCATCTTCCTTTGCCTCTGGGGGCACCCCTCGTATGGTCACCCCTCTGGCTCTCTGCCCACTCACTCTTGGCCTCCTTCAAGGGCTCCTCCATTCCTCTCCGTACCCTCGAATGTCGGGATTCTGAGGACTCAGGTGCAGGACCTGTCTCCTCCCCTTCCCCAGCTCTCAGGGTCCTCAAGTGTGAATGTCCTCCCTGCCTCTCTCATCAAAGTTTTGCACCCAGAGACCCGGTAGCCTCTGGGTGTTGCATGGACCTGGTGGTGCCCTTTGCCCCTCCCTCACCTCAGAATCATTTTTTCTTAACAATTGGCCATTTATCACCTTCTGCTTCACCCTGTTTGCTGCCTCTCACCTGCTYAGATGATGACCCGCCCTCCTCATCTGTCCAGGCATCCACAGCGGGAACCTGGTGCCAGCCCAGCCCTCTTCCTCCGCYACCCACCGTGCCAGGCAGTCACTTTCTGACTCCACCACATTCAAACCCATTCATTTCTCTCCAGTCCCTTTCCCATTCCTGGACCCAGACTCTCCCCATTAATTGCCTCAAGGCAAAATCCTCTGCACTAGGCCCCCTGCCCTGCCCCACCCTTCCTGCCCATTCTTCCTGCTACAGCCAAAGAAGATTTCCTGAAACATACATCTGGTGGGGGTCTTATCCCCATTTAGACCTTTCTAGGCTTCTTCCATCCTCAGGATGCAGCCCCAGCCACTCAGCAAGGCCTACACTGCACCTCATCCTTGTGCTACTTGTCACCCCAACTTGGCTGCACCGACTGACCAGAGACACCATGCCCTTCCCTGGCCTCACAGAGCTTTCTCTGCAGCTTCCCAGCTGTTGCCCTTGGTGGCCTTTCTGCCCCAAGTGCCCCCACCTTCTTTGCTAACTTTCCTCCTACTTTGAAGGACCCAGCCCCATCCCCCAAAACTCTGATACTGCCCTTAATCCTCAGAGAGGGTCCCCTGCCTTGCCTCGGGCTTCACCACCCTCACCTCTCCGTGCTGTGTGCTCTGACTGCTCCTTCTCTGCCTTTCCCATTAGACCTTGAGCTCTTTGAGGACCTCTGGACTTGGCACAGAACCTGGTGTGCTTGATGGCACTTTCGTAAGAATTACTTGAATAAATTAATACCTGCATGAATGGCTGGTGCCATACACTCCTTTTATCTGGCTCACAGAGACATATAAGATAGCTTTGTGGTGTGCATGGACTGTAGCTTTAGTCTATAAAGAACGAGGAAGGCAGTGAGTGATTTCAGGGTTAGGAGGAACCGGGGGCAAAAAGTGTGGGCTCTGCAGACAGAACCCCTGGACTCTAGTCCAAGCCCTGTTGCATGCTCCCGATGTGACTTTGGTCGAGTTCCTTAACCAGTCTGCACCTCATTTTCCCATCCTTGAGATGGCAATGGCTTTTGAACCAGTCTCAGGGACAGGGGTGGGTTAGATTCATGTATGCTTGGAGAGCCATTGAAGGTAGACATCCTTATTCCCATTTTACAGGTAGGGAGGAAGCTAAGACTAGACAAGAGATGTCACCTACCTAAGATAGAGCAACTGGCAAGATGCAGATCTGGGATTTGAGCCCAGCATGTTTCTGCATGTGCCAAGGGCTGGACACTATACCTGCAAACTCTGATTTTAGCAACTGGGTGGAAATCTCCAGAAATACGTTGCTATGGCCTGAAAAAGGTGCTTCAGGAAGAATCTGTTGTAGTGCCTGCAATATAATAGATATACAATWAATATTATTTGTACACATGAATCCCCCCCTGGAGAGGCCCAGCTCATCATCTGCATTTCCTACGTCCGGAATGCTGTTGGGAGGTTCGTTCCTGGGCCCTTGCTGGCCAGCATGTTGGCAGTGAATTCTTCCTTATTCAGACCTCTCTTCTGTCCCRGCGCTTCATCAGGGAGGGTCATTAAGAAAACTTTTTCCCAGGAAGAGCTGTGCCTTCCCCCAAGTCTCAGAGTTGATTGTCCCAGCCCCCACACTCTCAAAAGCTGCCCTGTGGATTTCAAAACAACCCAGCAGGCCGAGAACTGGCTGCTGAGCCCCGCTTTTTTTTTTTTTCTGGAAACCGAAGGTCCATTCCTGGTGAAAATCAGTATCAGTAAATTCATCCTCCGTGGCTTTCAGTACTCTGCTTCCCGTTCTGACAACAAGGTTGTTCAGTTACATGAGAGGGCACCAGGGCAGACGGCAGGACTCAAAAGTTGGTAGCATCCAGAATGTGGAAGAGAGGGGACCGAAGCCAGCTCACTCCTGGCAGCTCTGCCCATCCTGTCTCACTCCATCGCTATGCAGTTTTAATATTCGTGTCTCTGGTTCAGAAGACAAGCATATCAAAGAATGCATGGATGGGGCGGGGTGGTGGCTCAGTGGTAGAGCATTTGCCTAGCACATGTGAGACACTGGGTTTGATCCTCAGGACAACACAAAAAATAGTAAAGTTATATATTTAAAAAATGCATGAATTTGTGTGCATGTGCCCCTGCTAGCTATGAAGGCCCTGTAAGTATGTCTTTCATGAAAAGTTCTGAGTCGGGGCGAGAGTCACACCCAGGTTATTATCATCTGCCATGACCCAGTTTCCTTGTTAACTCTGGTTATACCTTCTCACTCACCACCTGATGGGCTGTCACTGGGATTGCTTTGGGTGACTGTATGTAAGGCAGTACATATATGTCAGCTATGAGGCTCCTAATTTGGGGACAAGAGAGTTGGTGGGTACCCTCAAATTCCCTAAAGAATCTCAGAAGAGTCTATTTCTAGGGAGAAAAATCTATCCCTACAGTAACTTCTCAAAGGATCCTTATAGTATAAGCAAGAAATAGACTTTGTTGTTTTATACTATTGAGATGTTTGGGAGCTCTTGTTGCTGCAGCATAATCCAACCTATCCTGACTACTTCAGGGGGTCTGGGAAGGTTTCCTGGAGGAAGATATTGAGCCACACTTTTGAAAGATAAATGCAACTGAACCAGAAGAGGAAGAAAATAGACGCTTCCTTCCCAATTTTCCTTTACTTAAAAAAAAAAAAGTTAAAAACCACTTGGATGGCATTGGTAGCTCATTCCATTATGACCAGGAAATCTCCCTCTATGGTGCTCAAACCTCATTGTGGTTTAGAAACTGGGTTTGTAGCTCACTGGAAGCCATTCTGCAAAGATTGGGGTTCCGTGGGTCTGGGGTAGGTCTCAAGAATGTATTTCTGGCAAGCAATCTAAGGACCCTRTACTGGGATATGCTACTGTTATAATATGGATTCTCTTAAAATCCTCTTCTGTAATAATGCCTAACATTTTTAAACAAAATCAAGCAGGAGAGCTAACACAAAAGAAGCAAATCAAATAAAGGTCATTATCATAAGTGATCGGCTTCTTTCTTAGAAGAAGTAGTAACTTGAGCTTCTTTTCTATCCAACTTCTCCTAGTAAAGTGTCAGAGTCATAGAGTCATATCATGCTTACCTTTAATCCTGAGTATCTAATAGCATGCCTGGCACATAGTAGGTGCTCAGTAAAGGTGTATTGAAACAGCTGCTCCCGCTTCTCCTGATCCAAAAAGCTGGTTTCCTTTCTAGTAACTCTAATTCTGCACACAGTCTGATTTTGTTTGGGGGCCTGCCTGATTTCYCCCATGGGGGTTGGGGCTGGAGGAAGCCTGCCGACCAGTGCTAATTGGTGTCATTGAGTAATTAATGCAGAATCAGGCCCGGAGCGGATTCCCAGGGAGACAGACACTGAGGGCTGCTTTCATGCTTGGTGGGATGGGAGCTCCTTTCTCAGAGGACATTCTCAGAGCACCGAGCCGACTGGCACAGACTGGTGGGGAGTGGTTTGGCAGCCAGAATGGGGTTCGTGGAGCAAGTTTGGGGGGGTTTGTGTTGGTGCCACGGCTCTGCACAATATGGAGCGTGGCGCGTTTGACTTTAAAGAAACACAAACCCAGGCGTGGGCTCTGGGAGCCAGGCCTGTGTTGACTCTGAAGAACTGATGGGTTCCAAGGGAAGGCTATGGCTGGAGACATTCGCCCAGCACACCCAGGTCCCCACTGTCTTGTGGCCTGGGCCCTCTGGGATACCCTTAAYCTATGGCATGATATTAAAGGCTTCAGGTATACCTTCCCTTTTTACCCTTCCTACTATTTCCCCTCTCCYGCTCTGCACACCCAACTCTCTGTTCCCGAAGTGCACCCGCCCCYCTTCTTCTGAGTTGAGCTCAGCCCATTTCCTTGACCTAAAACAATATCCATTTCCTCTTTCTGTTGGCTCAGTTCCACTCATCTTTCAACAAGGGGTTCACACATCACTTCTGTCAGGAACATTTCCAAACTCCCTGAAGCAGTCAGGATGGGATGGTTTTTGCTGCAGTAACAAGTGCTCAGAGAGCAACATAGCTTAAAACAAAAAAGTTTAATTCTTGCCTGTTCCATATGTGACTTGGGATGGCATGAGAGCTCAGGTTCTTCTTCAGGGGCTCAGGCTTCTTGAGGCTGTGTCTTGACGCTTTTCAATGTTTCAATAATGATAACAAGGGAAAGGGAGGCTGGTGAACCATGCTACCTGTCTGAAGCAAATCCTGTGGTTACCCTTGAGTTTGTCAGGATGGGGGTATGCAGTCTTCCCTTAGGAATATGGAAAGTTGTGGATGGTAACAGTCTCCCAGGCACCCCCTGTGCCACATCTTTTTGCCCCCAGGAGAGAGGATACATAGAAGCAAGGGGCTAATTCTCATTTCTTTGGGACACCCAGGCCCAGCCCAGGGTTTGGCTTAGAGAGGATGCTTGGCGAATGGCAGGGGTGGATGCATCCCTTCCCTTCAGGCTTAGCTTTGGAGCACGTGAACTGCAGTGGGCCATCATCAGCCCCATGACTCTCTACCTTCCCTCTGCAGGCGCCGGGTCCTGGCCATCTCTGATGGGATCGAGCACATTGGGAACCTCCGCTGGGAGCTGGCCTTGTGTCTCCTGGCAGCCTGGACCATCTGCTACTTCTGTATCTGGAAGGGGACCAAGTCGACAGGAAAGGTAAGAGTTCTCATCTTTGAACGACCACGGGCAGTCGAAGGCGTAGAATCGTCCTTGTGTAAGCTCACAGTTGACCCGGAACATGCCACAGGGTTCTGATTGTGAATACCAACTTTTAAGTTGGGTGGTAGGAAGAGCACTGGACTAGAAGTCCACCCCGGAGCCCAGAGTTAGCTCCACTGCGTTTCTGCCATGCACCTCAAGGATGTGCATTTTTACCTTCTGAGCTTCCGTTTGCTCATCTGTGAAATGTCTGATCCTTTTTGAGTTGAGAGCCACATAAGATAAGGTGGAGTTAAAGTGGGAAATGCTAAACTGCTAGGATTGATTCTTTTATCGAGACACAGCTCCAGGCATGCACCAGGGCAGGGGGTGCGGGCCGTCGCCACTCACAGACTGTCTTTCTCACTCACCTGCAGTCTGTGGAGGGAAGAGCAACAGCTTCTGTCTTGCAGCCTCACTGTGCCACATGCACCAGGTGGCCTCCAGGGTTGCCACCTGATCAGGGGAAGAGAAGTGGAAGAAGGCGGCCAGCTCATAACCACCTTGGCCTGGCAGTTACACGTGTAACTTGGCTCTTCCGCTGACGGGACTGTGGCCAGCACCCAAGGCACAGCCTTACCTAAACCACAGGGGAAGCCAGGAGCTCTAGGGAAGCACAGAAACCTTTGGCCAGTGAGCATATCATGTGCCATAAGGATCAATACAGAGGTCAGAAATGTGAATTTCCTGGAAAAATCCAGCTGAGTTATGTATTTTACTTCAAAAAAACAGAAGGGGTAGGGCCCAGGGAATTAAATGCCAACATTTAGAAATTAGGAGATTTCACATAGAAAAAAAAAGAAGTCTGATTCTCTTATCCCTTGGACAGTAAGATTTGGCCACACCAGACTTGGCATACCCACAGCAGCGTGTGGGTGAGTGAGCAGTAGCCTCCTCCTCCTGGGAATGTTCTGGATGGCCACAGTCCCCACCATTCCTTATTGCCCCTGATGCTGTGGCTAAGTCTCAGAGCTGTTAGTTTCCTGTTTCTTGCRTCACAGAAAAGGGGCAGATGAAGCATTCTGTATGCCTGAGTGAGCCCCCGTCACTCCTTGGCCTCCTGGTTGTGATTAACATGTTTCTCATAAGCCAGATTCTAAGTGTTTGGCTGGGGCAGGGGGCTGGAGATAAAGGAAATGGGAGCTTAACCACTTGGGGCCCTTATGCAAAAGATGGGTCTGCTTCATTCCTACAGGGGTGGGTAGGATGAAGGGGAAACTACTGGAACGTTAGAGGTGGGCTGGCCTGTGGGGGGAGGTTAGGAGAACAGAGCAGCATGTGAAGAAGGAGGGTTTACTAAACCTAGTCATACTGGTGCCTGGGGACCACAGAAAGTAGAACGGGAACACGCATGTCCCTTCAGCCACGGTGATTCTGCTCCTGTTTGCTTTCTCTAGCTTGTAACATAAAGGCAAAAGGACTCGCCTCTTTTTCCAAACATAAAATCATCGCATTAATATTTGACTTCGGTCTGCATCCAGGCTGTTCCTCGTTCCCCTCTTTGCTGCCTCTTCTGGCCAAAGAAGAGGGGACCCAGTGGAGGGGTTAAGAAGCAGGGTCTGCAGTCAGCACTCAAACCCCAGGTCTGTCACTCACTCACCGTGACCTGGGGCACATCAGTTCACGTCTCCCAGTTTCCATTTCCCCTTCTAAGCAGCAAGATGGGCAAGAGAGCATGCTGAGTGAGAGTCAACTGTGAGGATGTGCCATTGAGTGCTTAGCAGTGTGTGTGACTCATAGTTGATACGGATTAAATGGGGGCTTGTAAATTTTTTGTTGTGTGAAGATAAAACATATTCATTCAAGAGAAGTAGTTTCTGAGTATCTACCACACATTTAGCATTATTCATGGTGTATCCAAAATCGAGTACAGCACAGCTGGAGTCCCACCCAGGTAACACATGGACGTGCCTGTGGTGGCAAAGAGAAGGGAAGAGGTATTGTTACCATGGCTTCCACGGCCACCACTTCTTGGGAATCAATGTGGAGACCTTTGGGGCCTTGCGGGACTTTATGTGGTCAGGAGAAGGGCTTCCTGGATGAAGTTTTGGTACATTGGCTGTGCCCGCAGGTGGCCTCCATCTCTTGGGTCACAGCAGAATCTGTTTCCACCCAACCTCAGGAGAAAGCCCAGTATCATGGAGGGGCCACATGGTCCCTGGCTGGGTGACGGAGGCCAAGCTTTGGGAGAATTCAATGTGAGAACTGGGGTTTCCAAGAAGGCAGGCAGGCTATGGTCTAGGAGATTTCCAAAGAGGCTTGTGGGGAAGGTGAGGAAATAACCATTCATCCTGCCTTCTACACACTTGGCATTCTGCTAGGTGTCTTCCTTCTGTGTTAGTGCATCACACCTCCCCAGTGGGGGAAGTCGTTGACGTCTCTGTAGGTGGACAGCCAGGGGATAGGAGCCATTAAGCAGCCTGGAAATAGTGGTATGGCAACTCTGCACCTCAGCGCTGACCACAAAGCTACCCGATCCTTGCCTCTCTTGGGCTCTTGATTGACGTGGGAACCTTGTGTTGTTTTGAGTGATCACCCTACACACATCTTCCCGAGCCTCCGTTTTCTCATCTCCAGTAGAAGTGGTAACGGTAGCAGTAGTGACAGTGATCCACAGTAAATAGTTAATTATTGTTTTTTAAATGTTTTAGTTGTAGTTGGACACAATACTTTTATTTTATTTATGTATTTATTTTTATGTGGTACTGAGGATCAGACCCAGGGTCTCGCACATGCTAGGCAAGCGCTCTACCACTGAGCCACAGCTCCTGCCTCAAATAGTTAATTTATCGAGCATTTCATCCTGTCTCACATGCCTGTGCCACTCAGGCATGTGGAACAACCGTGTGAGGCAGGAGCTATTAGCATGTCCATTTTATGGAAGAGGAAACTGAGGCTTAAAGGGATTAAGTAACTTGTTCACAGACCCTCCAGTAGGAAGCAGAAGATTGGGATGAAAATCCAAGCATTGGTGACTACACAGCTCATATTCTGGGTATGTCATTGTTACGCTGCCCTCTGTAATGTGGGTACAATTAATGATTTTCCTGTGGGCTGGTTAGAATGAGATAGCTGAACATATCATAGGCTCTCTATGATTGTTGGTTGCAGTATCTAAATGGTGCTTTTAAGGGAAATGCTGAAATCTAATGAGCCAAGGGTCTTCTTGAAGGCTGGGTTTCATAGATTGCTACATGTCCCACACCCAAGGCCAGCATTAGCATCCAGGATGAAATGTGGTTTTCCAGAGCTGTGACATTCCTTAGAAACCATCCGGTCCACCCGTTCCCTTATTTTATGCATGGACACACTGAGGGTCAGAAAGGGGAAGGGACTAGTCCAAGGTCACATAGTGTCAGGCCAGGAACAGGAGCCTAGACCCCCCAGCACTTTATAAATGATGAGGTCCAGTGGGTCATGTCTTGACAGTTGAAGAGGGGTCCAGGAGTCCCTGAATCATCAAGTGAACTCTTCAGAGGACGATGTGGCACATTTGTTTCTGTTTATGACTTGCTTCACCTTGGAGATGAGCCCAGTGTCCAAAGGTCTTTTGGGTTCTGTACAAAAACAGCTAAAAATAAAACACTGGGTCATCTGAGACTTCCAGAGTGGGCAGAGTGGCCCATGGCCCCCCGACCACGGGACCCTAAGCAGAGCTACTTTCATGGAGCTGTAAAGGAGGGACAGATCCATTCCCCTGGTATCGTCCAGGTGGTAACTGAGTTGCCATTCCATCTTCATCTCCTCCCTGGAGGGTCCTGTGGTAGTCAGACCTCAGCAGAAATTTCTGTTTATCATAAACGTTCACTTAAGGGATTAAGTAACTGGCTCAAGGATACTCTGGTGGGAAGCAGAAGACTGGGATAGAATCCATGCATTGGTTCCTAGTGCCCTCTTACCTCCAACTTCAGCCCAATGCAGCCAGCATTTCCTGTGCTCAGGAGGTAGACATCATAAATCCGGCCTTCCAGCGGACAGATTTGGGATCAAGTTACACATTAACAGGTGTAGGAACACCCCAAGTGAAGTCCCAGCAGTGCTCTGTAGCAGGGTCGTCAATGCATGGACCACAGAGGCTTTGCTGGCATCAGAATCTCCCCCGGAGACAACTAACACCACAGAGGCCAGTGTTCCAGATTGCCCCAGAGTCAGAAGAGCGATCCGTAGTCTTAGAGAACCTCCTCGGAGCCAGAGAGGTATTCAAAGGTCCCAGCTTAAGTGCACCACAAGGAGCCTGCTCTGTACCTGTCGCTGTGTAAACCCACATAGAAAGCCTGAGTTCCACCCATGCTTCTAGCTCTGTGGGGGAGGTGGGGGATACCCGTGGTGAAGACAGTGGTTGGTCTGGTCCCTACAAAGCCTGCAGCCCTCTAGGGCAGGACACAACCAGGAAAGCATTCCTAATGCAGATAGTGTTGGCATTAAAAAATACAACAGCTAAGCCAAGCAGATTGTAAAAACCTGGGGATTCTAATGGCGGAGAATTGTCTCCCAGAGTATTGCCATATTGCATGTCAGAACCGGGAGGCACCTGGGTTTCCTTAAGTAGAAACCCTGTTTTATAGGAAGTGGAGGCTCAGAGAGTGTGGTGAAGTTTGCCCAAGGCTACCTGCTTGCAAGGGGCAGAGGTAAGATTCAAACCTGGGTGTGACTGCATTCCCTAATTAAGATCTTCCTTTGCTCTGTACCTCCAGCAAGGAAGGAATGTGCACATCCAAGGCAACATGTCCCTGGTAGTTCTGAGCACACGGGAGGCACTTATTAATTTTATCTTTCTTTCTTTTTTCTCTTTTGGTACTGGAAAATGAAGTCAGAGGCACTGAACCATTGAGCCACATCCCCAGCCCTCTTCTGTATTTTATTTAGAGACAGGGTTTCACTGAGTTGCTTAGCGCCTCACGGTGACTGAGGCTAGCTTTGAACTCAAGATCCTCTTGTCTCAGCCTCCTAAACCGCTC